GTGTCTCACTCCTCCCCCTCCCTGTGTCTCACTCCTCCCCCTCCCTGTGTCTCACTCCTCCCCCTCCCTGTATCTCACTCCTCCCCCCTGTGTCTCACTCCTCCCCCTCCCTGTGTCTCACTCCTCCCCCTCCTGTGTCTCACTCCTCCCCCCTCCCTGTGTCTCACTCTCCCCCTCCCTGTGTCTCACCCTCCCCCTGGTGTCCCACTCCTCCCCCTCCCTGTGTCTCACTCCTCCCACTCCCTGTGTCTCACTCCTCCCCCCTCCCTGTGTCTCACTCCTCCCCCTCCCTGTATCTCACTCCTCCCTGTGTCTCACTCCTCCCCCGCCCTGTTCTCCTCCTCCCCCTCCCTGTGTCCCACCTCCCCCCCTCCCTGTGTCTCACTCCTCCCCCTCCCTGTGTCTCACTCCTCCCCCTCCCTGTGTCTCACTCCCTCCCTCTCCCGTGGTCTCACTCCTCCCCCTCCCTGTGTCTCACTCCTCCCCCTCCCAGTGTCTCACTCCTCCCCCTCCCTGTGTCTCACTCCTCCCCCTCCCTGTGTCCCACCTCCTCCCCCTCCCTGTGTCTCACCCTTCCCCCCTCCCTGTATCCACTCCTCCCTCCTTCCCTTCTCTCCCTCCCCCTCCACACCATTAACTCCTCACCTGTCCCTGCTATAAACTCTACAGTTTCTTCAGCATGCTATCCATACAATTTGCATTTTCAGTTTTTCATTCATTTGCTTAATGTGTGTGTGTTTGTGTGTGTGTGAGCAATGCTCTCTTTAATCATTCTGGTGCTTTGGTTTCTCTCTCTCCCCCAATCCCTCTCTCTCTCTCTCTCCCTCTATTTATCCCAATCCCTCTCTATCTCTTTCAAAAGAAACCCTTCTTATATCTCTCTACCAAACCCCTCTCTAATCTATATACTACCAAAACTCACATCTCTCTCTATCTCTCCCCCAACTCTAACCTCTCTCCCAACGACCTCTCTCTATCTTTCTCAAAACCCCTCTCTCTATAGCTCTCTCTCCCAACTCACCTCTATCCCAACCACTCTCTCTAATCTATACGCTTACCAAATCACCGACTATATCGCTGGCTCTACCAACTCACTCGCTCCCAACCCACGCGCTCTATCAGCTACGATACCAAAGAACCGTCCTTCCAAACCCTCTCTCTATTCTCTCTCCCAACCCTATCTATAAGCTCTCTCCCCTTCTCCCAACCAAATCACCTCTCTCCTCAACTCAACTCATTCTCCCAAACCCTCTCTTATCGATAGCTCCAATCCCTCTCTCTGTCGCTCTTCCCAACCCCTCTCTCTATATCTCCCAACCCCTCTCACTATCTCTCTCTCCACAACCCCTCTCTTCGATAGCTCTCTTACCAACCCCTCTCTATATAGCTCTCGAGTCCCAACCCCTCTCTCGATCCTCTCGCCCAGCACGATCTACCAAACCGTTTTCTCTCTCTCTCGCAGTCTCTCGATCCAACCACTCTCGAGCTCCTCTATACCAATATCTCCTCTCAGCCCAGAGTTATAATAGTAAAGAAATTGCTCATGGCAGTAAATAGTTGTGAACATGGTTCTTAGCTCTCATTCAAGTAGGGTATAGCACCAGAGAGAGAGAGATAGCTAGGCGGGGTATGGACCAGAGAGAGAGATAGATAGAGGGGTATAGGACAGAGAGAGAGATAGATTAGCGGGGTATAGGACCAGAGAGAGAGGAGAGGGCTGTTATAGCACAGAGAGAGAGAGAGAGATAGAGGGGTATAGCACCAGAGAGAGAGAGAGAGACGCTAGAGGGGTATAGCACCAGAGAGAGAGAGCAGAGAGAGAGAGAGGATAGAGGGGTATTACGCACCAGAGAGGAGAGATAGAGGGGTATTAGGACAAGAGAGAGAGAGAGAGAAGGGGGGTATTGCCAACAGAGGAGAGAGATAGGGGGGTTTTATAGCACCAGAGAGAGAGAGATAGAGGGGTATAGCAACATGAGAGAGGAGTGAGAGATAGGGGGGGGGGGTTTGAGCACCAGAGAGAGAGAGATGGAGATAGAGGGGTTATAGACACCAGGAGAGAGGAAGAGGCGGTATAAGGGCACCAGAGAGAGAGATAAAGGGGTATAGCACCAGTAGAGAGAGAGAGAGAGAGAGGGGTATAGCACCAGAGAGAGAGAGAAGATAGGGGGGTATAGCACCAGAGAGAGAGAGATAGAGGGGTATAGCACCAGAGAGGAGAGAGATAGATAGAGGGGTTATAGACCAGAGAGAGAGAGATAGAGGGGTTATAGCACCATAGAGAGAGGGATAGAGGGTATCAGCACAGAGAGAGAGAGAGATAGATAGAAGGTTATAGCACCAGAGAGAGAGAGATTAGAGGGGTATAGCACCAAGAGAGCGAGATAGAGGGGTATCGCACCAGAGAGAGAGAAGAGGGGTATAGCAACCAGAGAGACGAGGTTAGAGGGGTTTAAGCACCGGAGAGAGAGGATAGAGGGTATAGCACCAGACGAGAGAGCGATAGGGGGGTTATAGCACCAAGAGAGGAGAGATAGAGGGGTATAGCAACCAGAGAGAGAGAGAGAGATAGAGGGGTTATAGCACCCAGGAGAGAGAGAGAGAGGGGTATAGCACCAGGAGAGAGAGAGAGGATAGAGGGTGGCTTTATAGCACCGAGAGAGGATAGAGGGGTACTATAAAGCACCAGAGAGAGAGGTTTTAGAGGGGTTTATAGCACCAGAGAGAGGGTAGGGGATAGCCCCAGAGGAGAGAGAGAGAAGAGAGGAGAGCGGGAGTCTAGCACCAGAGAGAGAAGAGATAGGGGGGTATAGCACAGAGAGAGAGATAGTAGCGGGGGTGTATAGCACCAGAGAGAGAGAAGATAGAGGGGATAGCACCAGAGAGAGAGATAGAGGGTTATAGCACCAGGAGGAGAGAGGTAGAGGCGGTATAGCACCAAGAGAGAGAGGTAGCGGGGTATAGCACAAGGAGAGAGGGGAGAGAGAGAGAGAGAGAGAGAGGGGTATAGCACCAGAGAGAGAAGGTAGAGGGGTATAGCACAAGAGAGAGAGAGAGAGAGAGGGGTATAGCACCAGAGAGAGAGAGAGAGAGAGGGGTATAGCACCAGAGAGAGAGCTAGTAGAGGGTAAAGCACCAGAGAGAGAGAGAGAGGGTTATTTTATAGCACAGAGAGAGAGAAGGGGGATAGCACCAGAGAGAGAGAGATAGAGGGGTATAGCACCAGAACCAGAGAGAGAGATAGAGGGTATAGCAACAGAGGAGAGAGAGATATAGAGAGGTATAGAACCAGAGAGAGCGATAGATAGAGCGGGTTAGCACCAGAGAGAGAGAGATTGAGGGTATAGCAACCAGAGAGAGCAGAGGATAGAGGGTGTCATAGCACCAGAGGAGAGATAGAGGGGTATAGCACCAGAGGAGAGAGATAGGGGGTATAAGCACCAGAGAGAGATAGAGAGCTTAGAGGGGTGGTTATAGCAACAGAGAGCAGAGAGATTATAGAGAGATAGAGGGGTATAGCACAGAGAGAGATAGAGAGATAGTAGGGGTTTTTGCAAAGAGAGAGATAGAGAGATAGCGGGGTATAGCACCCAGCGAATAGAGATAGAGGGTATTATAGCACAGAGAAGAGAGAGAGAGATAGAGGGGTATAGCACCAGAGAGGAGAAGAGGGGTATAGCACAGGAGGAGCGTGAGAGGGAGAGAGAGAGATAGAGGCTGATAGCACCAGAGGAGAGAGATTTAGGGGGTTATAGCACCAGAGAGGAGGAGAGAGATAGAGAGAGGGGTATAGCCAGAGAGAGAGAGATTAGGGGGTATAGCACCAAGAGAGAGAGATAGATAGAGGGTATAGCACCAGAGAGAGAGATGATAGAGGGGTATAGCACCAGCGAGAGAGTATAGAGGGGTAAGCACCAGAGGAGAGAGAATAGAGGGGATAGCACCACCAGAGAGAGAGATAGAGGGTAATAGCACCCAGAGAGAGAGATAGAGGGGTATAGCACCCGAGAGATAGGAGAGACTAGAGGGGGATAGCACCAGAGAGAGAGAAGAGGGGTATGACAGAGAGAGCGAGATAGAGGGTTAAGCCCGAGAGAGAGAAGAGATAGCGGGGATTATAGCACCAGAGAGAGAGAGATAGAGGGGTATAGCACCAGAGAGAGAGAGAGAGATAGAGGGGTATAGCACCAGAGAGAGAGATAGATAGAGGGGTATAGCACCAGAGAGAGAGAGATAGAGGGGTATTATAGCACCAGAGGAGAGCTAGAGATAGCGGGTGATAGCCCAGAGAGAGAGAGAGGAGAGGGGTATAGCACCAGAGGAGAGAGGATGATATAGAGGGTATAGAACCAGAGAAAGATAGAGGGGTATAGCACCAGAGGAGAGATAGAGGGGTATGCACCAGAGAGAGGAAGAGGGTTATAGCACCAGAGAGAGAGAGGATAGAGGGGTTATAGCACCAGAGAGAGAGAGATGGATAGAGGGGTTATAGCACCAGAGAGAGAGGAGTCGAGGGTATAGCACCAGCCGAGACGAGAGATAGAGGGTTAGCACCAGGTGAGAGAGAGGATAGAGGGGTATAAGCACCAGAGAGAGAGAGATAGAGGGCGTTATAGCACCAGAAGGAGAGAGAAGAGAGAGAGAGATAGAGGGGTATAGCACCAGAGAGAGAGATAGAGATAGAGGCAGAGGTGTAGTCCAGGGTATACGCTGGTATACGGCGTATACCTACTTAATTTTTCAGTCAGCATGCGTATACCCACTTCTAAATCCCCCCTGATGCGCATCATTCAGTATATCTGTGCGTCAGATTGCCTATTTTCTCCTCGGGGATAGTGAAGCCATGACCCAACCCTCCTCTGCCTCTAATTGGCTGGTAACTCGCTGCTTTCACTGATTAGATTGGTTAACTTTAGGCATGAGGACTGATGAGCCAATCAGAGGCAGAGTAGGGGCGGGTCATGCCGAGGAAAATATTGCTAATACCTCAGGTGCCAGTGAAAAAAAAAAAAAAAAAAACTCAGGTGCCGGTGCCACTTGACTACGATAACGGCAGCAGACCAAACAACGGATGAAGAAAGGACACAAGCGGCGGCGGTGTGCCACCCCATTGATGGAAGACATCATTCTGAGGTAAGTTTTAAGGTGGTTTCCAAATGAATCATTATTTTAAACTACTGGCAAATTGCCAGTGACTGCACATTTAGAGGAGAAGAGATGTTGCCGCCAATAGTTAGTGCGAGTTCGGCTAACGTTATGAAGCTAGCTACGTAGATTGGGATAATGTGGGGAAACCGGGGGGCATTGTTGGTTTTCAGTAAGTGTTTAATCAACCCAGTTCATAAGAATTTCATACCAGACTGATGAAACTGATTATCTCAATGTTTATGAAGCTTGTTTATTATTGTAAAGGTCTAAATTATAACGTTAGCCAAGTTACTAAGCCCTAAATTATAACATTAGCCAAGTTACTTAGCCCTAACTAACCTATATGATCTAGTTTAATTGCATAGTAGCTAAGCTGGTAGTTGATTTTTAAGTAAGTTAAAACACAAGAATGGGGGACAAATAGTTTAAGATTCAGCCTAAAACAATATTGAGGTCTAATCAGGCTGTCTTATTTTGTATAGGGGACAGGTAACCATGAAAAGGAAGGGAGATATTGCAGACTTTTTTGTAAAGAGGCACAAATCAGGCCCAGATCAGGCCCAGGCAGACCCCACCCCTAAAACCAGCAGCCCTGGCAGCTCTCAACCGGGAGCTAGCCCAGGCAAGTCAGTGTGAGCATAGAGAAGGATCCAGTCTACCACCACCAGGTCAGAACACACAGGCAGTAAATTGCATCTCCAGTTTATTGAAAAGTGAAGCCTCACACTGTAACAAAAGGTGATTTTGACAGATTAAGCCTCATTTTGAATTTCTGTGTGATGTTATTTATTTTATTGCCCTTCTATTTATTTTGTCTGTATCCATGTTTGTTTTTTACAATGGCTACTGTTATATAACATTTTGTACATTTTGGTGTTAAATTTGTTGTTTTTTTTGTTAAATAAACTCTCCCAAGTATTTCACTCACTAATCTCCTGTATGCTTCAGCTTCACTTGCTGAAAATATTTCCACTTGGTTATGCAGATTGTTAATGTAAAGAGGGGGACCCATGTCTTGCTGATGACTATTGTGATCACAGTAGTGTGTGTGTGTGTGTGTGTGTGTGTGTGTGTGTAAGTGTGTGAGAGAGAGAGAGACAGGGAGATGCATAATTAGTTTTGTTGTTGTCTGTAGACATCAATAATGACTGGCCAGACCTGTGGAGTGCTAAACAAACAGAAGACTTCAAATCCAAGAACCCCTGGTTGGGATCCAAAAACAAAAATTGGGTAAGTTTAGGTAGATTGCTAGTTTGGGTAACTTCTGAAACAGTGGGCACAGATAACTTGTGTGTGTGTGTGTGTGTGTGTGTGTGTGTGTGTGAAAGGACCATGCACACGTACAGCTGTGGATACAGGAGTAGTTACATTGTTTGTTTATGCTTCGCAGGATGTCTGGTCTGTAGCAGTGTGAACTCCATTGGGATCGACAAGGAGCAAGGACAAGGTGTATCGCTCTCAAGAGAATGGATGAACTTTGAAATTCAAGTGTCTGGCCAGGGAAGTAGAACAACAAGTTTGTCAATCTTGAGAAATAAGGTGAGGAAACATGCGTTGTCCAAGGCCCACACTCAGGCTGTGAAGGTGGCAGAGCAACAGAAAGAAGCTGCCATTGAGAATGCAGTGGAGACTATGACTGAGTCCTACATGAAGGAAACTGAAGCTGTGTTTCGAACAGCCTACCATCTGGCCAAAAAGAACCGACCCTTTTCTGACCATGAGAGCCTCATTGAGCTGCAGGAACTGAATGGTGTAAAAAATGGGCTCAATACTTCATTCACGTTACAGTGCAACACAAATAATACAACATGTTGCTAGTGAGATGCAGAGCAAAATCATCAGTAGCATTATAGCATCATCCAGTAAGTTAGCTGTCCTAATTGACGAGGCATCTTCTTTAAGTCACAAAGCTGTCATGACAGTTTCTATTAAAGCATCAATTCAAGAAGAAAGCCCTGAGTTCATATTCCTGGAACTTGTTGAACTGGAAAATCAGAGAGCAGATGGCATATTACAGGCGTTACTCACCTGTTTAACTAATGCTGGCTTTACAGAAGAGTGGCTTCATGAAAACTGGGTAACATTTGTATCTGATGGAGCCAGTGTCATGCTAGGAAAGAAGTCAGGAGTAGCAACCAGACTGACTTTGAGATTCCCAAAGCTTTTTGTATGGCACTGCATGAACCATAGACTTGAACTTGCTGTGTCAGATGCAGTTGATGAGGTAAACTCTGTCAATCACTTTAAAACTTTTATCCAGAAGCTATACTCTCTGTATAGTGTGTCAAACAAAAATGAACGTGAACTTGTTAATGCAGCAGCTGAAGTAGGCTCACAACTTCTTCGCATTGGCAGAATCTTGGATGTACGCTGGGTGGCCAGTAGCTTTCGGACTGTTCGTGCTGTTTGGACATCCCTGGGAGCTCTTGTGCAGCACTTTAAAAATGCTTGCAGTGATGAGATGAGGTCCACCAAAGAGAGGCAGATGTACAGAGGTTTGTTAGACCGTGTTCAAAGTCCAGAATTCATTTGTGACCTTGGCCTCATGTACGACACTCTCCATGAACTAAGTCTCCTGTCACAGGAGCTTCAGTCTCGTTCTATAACGCTCCTCAGAGCAGAGCATCTGCTGAAACGCTCAATCAGAGTGATCCAGTCATTCAAAGAGAGTCCAGGTGAGAAATATAGTGAGGCTTTAGAAGCAAAACAGACTGGGGAGTATCGGTCTATAGCCCTGAAAACAAATGCAAAGCTGAAGTCTATCAATCCAGGCCAGTTCTTACAAAGCCTTGTGAACAATCTGGAGAAACGCTTGTCTTTTGAAGATGAGACCATCATGGACCTCAGCATCCTTGATCAGAGTAAGTGGCCATCAAAGCCCAGCATCCGCCATGGTGAAGAACAAGTTAAGTGACTGTGCAAGCGATTTAACTTGTGCACAGACCAAGCACTGAATGGGATGCGGGACCTACTGGAAGAGCCCAGTAGTGAGCCCAAGGACCTAAAACCACTTATGAACTGTATGAAAACATTCCCTGTCGGTACAGCAGAGTGTGAGAGGAATTTTAGCCTTATGAACAATATAAGCTCAGACAAGAGGGCTGTCCTTCTGATCTCAAACATATCAAACTTGATGATGATTAATATCAACGGCCCACCAACTTCCAAGTTTGATCCTAGAAAATATACAAGGACCTGGTTGAAGAGCCATCGTGCTGCCTCTTCGGTGCGTTCTAGACAGTGCAGTGTGAAAGCTCCTGCAGAAAGCAAATTTGTCTGGAATATACTGTAGTATGAGCAAAGGTCAGAAACCCAGTGCTGGGTTGAGAGAGTATATCACTGTTGATGTGTTGTTAATGCATATATTTTTGTTAATTGTTAACTAAATATTGTTGTAACATATTTTGTTGAATGATTTACCGGTAAATGAACATGTTCAAAACAAAGCATATAGCAATATGAACAAGGATGCATTGTCACCTTCAGATTTGAAGTATTTTATTTAAATAAATGTGCAAAAAATAATCGAAAAACACCATTTCCTGTTTGCCTCATGATAAATACATTTTACATTCATCCAGGCTGCTCTTGTGACCAGTAGTAACTACAAACTGCTCCTAATCAAGTCATGATCATTTTATAATAGTGTGCAAGTAGAAATTACATATTTTTGGGTAAACTAAATCATAGTCTTACATGTCACTGTTTCTAAAACAGGGCTTTTTTCTGGACTACTTAAAAAAAAAAAGGTGAATACTGAGAGTATACCCACCTTCTCCAGGGACCACTACACCACTGGATAGAGGGGTATAGCACCAGAGAGAGAGAGATAGAGGGGTATAGCACCAGAGAGAGAGATAGAGGGGTATAGCACCAGAGAGAGAGAGAGATAGGAGGGTATAGCACCAGAGAGAGAGAGAGATAGAGGGGTATAGCACCAGAGAGAGAGATAGAGATAGAGGGGTATAGCACCAGAGAGAGAGATATAAGGGGTATAGCAACCATAGAGAGAGATAGAGGGGTTATATCACCAGAGAGAGAGATAGAGGGGTTATAGCAACCAGAGAGAGAGGAGAATAGAGGGGTATAGCACCAGAGAGAGAGAGATAGAGGGGTATAGCACCAGAGAGAGAGAGATAGAGGGGTATAGCACCAGAGAGAGAGAGATAGAGGGGTATAGCACCAGAGAGAGAGAGATAGAGGGGTATAGCACCAGAGAGAGAGAGAGAGGGGTATAGCACCAGAGAGAGAGAGATACTTGACTCCCATTATACTTGTCTTTACCAAGCTGTCAGATTGATAAGGGTGTGTGTGTGTGTGTGTGTGTGTGTGTGTGTGTGTGTGTGTGTGTGTGTGTGTGTGTGTGTGTGTGTGTGTGTGTGTGTGTGTGTACACTCCTCATTCACACACACAGTCCTCATTCACACACACCCTCCTCATTCACACACACACTCTTCAATCACACACACACTCCTCATTCACACACACCACACACACACCAGCTGTGGGCCCGCCTTCTTAACCAATAAGGAAACCTGAATGTAAATATTACGTTGGTAAGACAATGTTTTTATGTTTATCATCAACATTTTTAAATAAAAGATACAGTTGAAGTCGGAACGTTTACATACACTTAAAACTCGTTCTTCAACCACTCCACACATTTCTTGTTAACTAACTATAGTTTTGGCAAGTCGGTTAGGACATCTACTTTGTGCATGACACAAGTAATTTTTCCAACAATTGTTTACAGACAGATTATTTCACTTATAATTCACTGTATCACAATTCCAGTGGGTCAGAAGTTTACATACACTAAGTTGACTGTGCCTTTAAACAGCTTGGAAAATTCCAGAAAATGATGTCATGGCTTTAGAAGCTTCTGATAGGCTAATTGACATCATTTGAGTCAATTGGAGGTGTACCTGTGGATGTATTTCAAGGCATACCTTCAAACTCAGTGCCTCTTTGCTTGACATCATGGGAAAATCTAAAGAAATCAGCCAAGACCTCAGAAAAGAAATTGTAGACCTCCACAAGTCTGGTTCATCCTTGGGAGCAATTTCCAAACGCCTTAAGGTACCACATTCATCTGTGCAAACCAGAACAACAGCAAATGACCTTGTGAAGATGCTGGAGGAAACAGGTACATAAGTATCAATATCCACAGTAAAACAAGTCCTATATCGACATAACCTGAAAGGCCGCTCAGCAAGGAAGAAGCCACTGCTCCAAAACCACCATAAAAAAGCCAGACTACGGTTTGCAACTGCACATGGGGACAAAGATCGTACTTTTTTGAGAAATGTCCTCTGGTCTGATGAAACAAAAATAGAACTGTTTGGCCATAATGACCATTGTTATGTTTGGAGGGAAAAGGGGGATGCTTGCAAGCCGAAGAACACCATCCCAACCGTGAAGCACGTGGGTGGCAGCATCATGCTGTGGGGGTGCTTTGCTGCAGGAGGGACTGGTGCAATTCACAAAATAGATGGCATCATGAGGAAGGAAAATTATGTGGATATATTGAAGCAACATCTCAAGACATCAGTCAGGAAGTTAAAGCATGGTTGCAAATGGGTCTTCCAAATGGACAATGACCCCAAGCATACTTCCAAAGTTGTGGCAAAATGGCTTAAGGACAACAAAGTCAAGGTATTGGAGTGGTCATCACAAAGCCCTGACCTCAATCCTATAGAACATGTGTGGGCAGAACTGAAAAAGCGTGTGCGAGCAAGGAGGCCTACAAACCTGACTCAGTTACACCAGCTCTGTCAGGAGGAATGGGCCAAAATTCACCCAACATATTGTGGGATGCTTGTGGAAGGCTACCCGAAACGTTTGACCCAAGTTAAACAATTTAAAGGCAACGCTACCAAATACTAATTGAGTGTATGTAAACTTCTGACCCACTGGGAATGTGATGAAATAAATAAAAGCTGAAATAAATCATTCTCTCTACTATCGTTCTGACATTTCACATTCTTAAAATAAAGTGGTGATCCTAACTGACCTAATACATGGGGATTTTTACTAGGATTAAATGTCAGGAATTGTGAAAAAAACGGAGTTTAAATGTATCTGGCTAAGGTGTATGTAAACTTCCGACTTCAACTGTGCGTGTGTGATTGTGCGCTTGTGTGTGTGTGTGTGTGTGTGATTGTGTGCTTGTGTGTGTGTGTGTGTGATTGTGCCCTGACCTCAACTCTATCAAACACCTTCTGGATGAATTGGAACGCCGACTGCGAGCCAGGCCTAATTGCCCAACATCATTGCCCGATCTCACTAATGCTCTTGTGGCTGAATGGAAGCAAGTAGCAAGTCCCCGCAGCAATGTTCCAACATCTAGTGGAAAGACTTCACAGAATAGTGGAGGCTGTTATAGCAGCAAATGGGGAACCAACTCCAAATGAATGCCCATGATTTTGGAATGAGATGTTCTACGAGCAGCTGTCCACATACTTTTGGTAATGTAGTTTGCCTTTGACAGGAGGTAAGGAAGTGCAGCTCAGTTTCCACCTAATTTTGTGGGCAGTGGGCACATTGCCTTTCTTCTCTCAAGAGCCAGGTCTGCCTATGGCGGCCTCTCTTAATAGCAAGGCTATGCTCACTCTCTCTCTCGCTTGATAAGGGAGATGTTCAGGTATCCCCCTTTCCCTTTCCTTTCAAATGAAACTTTCTTTCCTCTAGCTTCAAAACCACAAAGAGCAAGCAATGCAGATGCAGAAGCACAATGGCTAGGAAAACTCCCTAGAAGGCAGGAACCTAGGAAGCAACCTAGAGAGGAACCAGGCTCAGAGGGGTATCCAGTCCTCTTCTGGCTGTGCCAGGTGGAGATTTAAGAGTACATGTGGCATTAAGGCCAGATCGTAATTCCAGATGTTCAAATGTTAATAGATAACCAGCAGGGTCAAATAAAAACCATGATGGCTGAAGAGGGTGCAACAGTTCAACACCTCAGGAGTCAATGTCAGTTGGCTTTTCATAACCTTCTGAGGAACAATATGGCGGCCGGTGGCTTCAAAGCCTTTAATTGACCAAGTATCAGCAATCCAGAGTTTATATATACATCATTGGTCCACAGCAGCAGTCAGGACAGCAGAACTGGATCAGCAGTACGACCAAGTGGACTGGGGACTAACTTACTACCCTGAGACAAGGCCGAGTATAGCCCAGGAAGAAGTATAGTATGTTTTCCTAGATTGGCTTTTGAAACCTGACAGTCACTTGTGGCCTGTGGTGGGTTAGTTTTGTTTTATAGTGAAGGTTCAGCTTCCCTCATATGCTGTTACTGGGCCAGGAGTTGTTCCAAGTCAGGTCCCCTGGTTAGATGGAACATGTCCTAGGGACTGAACCTAATTGTGTTTCCCTCTGTAAGACCTGGGTTATATCCTCTGTAGCTCAGCTGGTAGAGGTACTGCAGACCTGGGTTATACTGGTGACCGTGGTCACATCAAAACAGACTGGAAGGTACTGCAGACCTGGGTTATACTGGTGACCGTGGTCACATCAAAACAGACTGGAAGGTACTGCAGACCTGGGTTATACTGGTGACCGTGGTCACATCAAAACAGACTGGAAGGTACTGCAGACCTGGGTTATACTGGTGACCGTGGTCACATCAAAACAGACTGGAAGGTACTGCAGACCTGGGTTATACTGGTGACCGTGGTCACATCAAGACAGACTGGAAGGTACTGCAGACCTGGGTTATACTGGTGACCGTGGTCACATCAAAACAGACTGGAAGGTACTGCAGACCTGGGTTATACTGGTGACCGTGGCTACATCAAAACAGACTGGAAGGTACCGCAGACCTGGGTTATACTGGTGACCGTGGTCACATCAAAACAGACTGGAAGGTACCGCAGACCTGGGTTATACTGGTGACCGTGGTCACATCAAAACAGACTG